CACTTGAGTACAGGAGCACTACATACAGCATTCACGTTTAAGATCTCCAGTGGATTGGACATTTCGTGAGCCTAGTATCGTGTTTCCATGTTTGGGTGACTGTCAACAGAGGATCTCCGAGACCGACTTGTCTTCACATTGAAGTTAGTCTTTACAAATTATAGATAAGCTCGGTGGTGCTAGTTTGTCAGGATTCATTTTTCGGATGACGGAAATATGAATAGATAAATGGAAAAGATGTGAACATTGATGTTTGTTTGGATAAACAATGAAATCACAAATGCTTTTGGGTATCAAAAGTGGGAACTATTTCGTGCTGTGATTTTGTGGAAGAAGAGTGCAACCGGGTCTGCAATGAAGATGACATGCATAAACTGGATCATCTAGCAAAGCATTGTGTATCTCAACAAACCAAAGTGATTCAACCTGCACAGAGCTATAATTGAAGAATGTGAAGTCCTCTGTTCGTTTTACAGAACCCTTGCACACATTTAATATTTATGTCATAGGAATGACATCGAGATTTTGATACGCACCTTTTTTACATGATCAATAAGTAACACGTGACCCTGTGCACGAGAAAGCACGAATTCTCTGCTTCTGACTTTCTTACGCCACTGTTCTTTCTGATTCCGCGTCAAACCGTGTGATCTTTGCTCTTTTGATTCGCCACCTCCCCACGCCTCTTGGCTGCGCTCACATTGCGTTGATTTTTACCCGTTTGTCGTATGCCTTGATGGAGTGCATCGGATCTATTGCATACTATATACCGTACTGCCCTTGTTTTTTTTGTTATTGCTTGTTTGTTTTCGAAATTGACGGGTTGATTGAGGCACGAAGTATTGATTCATCACTAACCTGACAGCACTAGTGTAGGTGGATGTTTTCGAAAGGGACAAAATAGTACATATAGTCTGCTCCGAGTTGTTGTTCGGGAAGATTTTTTATTGCTTAATTGGTAGATTATTCCTCTGGGTATAAACCCTTATATATTGTTCAACTTTTTCTCCTCGAGAGAATGACAGGCATGTCTCTGATCGTTTTCAGTATATGCAGTCTCTTTACTCTAGCTCATCAGTCCGCGCGCTTCCAGTCCCTCTCACTATATCCTGTTAGATGATGAGTCAGTTTCTTTGATAGATATTCGATAGCAGTTCGCCATGCGCGGCGGTTGCTGATGTGATCGGTCTTGTTGATAATTCAATCTGGATTTCAAAACAGGCCTCAACAGACTAGATCCCATCTCACCGTGTTTGTCCTTGTATTAGTTCGTTCCCCAGATATTCCTGGAAGGATTAAAGTGATACGAAGTGGCATCTCCAGCACTATATGGCCTACTTATTCGAGGTTACACCTCTAAACTATACCCAACCACGTGCAAAATGAGATATGGCAAGGCAATGCTTCACCGAGACACTTTTAAAAGTCCCTGTTACACCCAATGTGATATACTTCCTCTCAGGTAGTTCATGGGGTAATTTCCATTGACCACTTAGAAGGACCTCAGAGTTATGGCTAAGGACTGACTCAGATGAAGACCAAAAGCTGGATGGATACCACAGCTGAACTCTGTAGTCCTCCAGTAAGAGATGTCACTCCTCCTTATCTTCCTATTTACCGTGAGGTTAAAAACCCCATTCTTGATACTTCTCATCGGTATTCTTTTCTCGAGACAGTAATTCCAATGATTTGCACTGGAGGCATCCCCCATTGTAGATCGTATGCATTCTCCATGAACTTAATAGATCGCGCTAGTGGCCCAGACACTTGCTAATCGTGTGGTAAAGTGTGCTGTTCAGATTCTGATCGAGTATTAGTTACAAGTGAACCTGTCTGTTCGTGAGAACTCTTGACATCTTTTCAAGCATTTTGCGTCTCGTCATGCTAGGATGGGGCTACCGCTGTTTGTTTTCAGCTTTGTATTTCTTTTATCTGTAAACCGTTTCCCCATAACATATTTTGGAACATTACCGCTGTGGGAGACAACTACTGTTCCTAACCTCCAGTTGTAATTCTTCGTATTGCACCTCTCCATGGCTTCCTGTATAACAAAACAGGAGTAAAAAGCCAGACGCGACGTGACTAATGTTTGTTAAACATTCCCGACTCGTGTTCCAACTCGTGAAGCATGGTCCTCTGTTGTACAGAATATTTTACAGAAATACTATTGATTAGTCGAAATTCAACAGCCTGTTGGTCATTGCCTTGTTTCAGCTGCTCTTGGTCGAACCATAGTAAACGCCAAAAACCACAAATTACCGAATAAACGTACGCAGCATGTCATTGGCTTTTGCTCACTTGCTCTGCCTACTCATTAGTAGTAGTTGCTGATTTATCAATAACATTTACGAATTGAATAGCGTGCCTCAGCCGCAATATGCGTTCCTGCCATCGTGTTCTATCTTCACTGCTCTTGTCTGAACCATAAGTACGGCTGCCTAACATAGTTGTTCTAAAATATGATTCATTCACTTTTGATTATTTGGGACAATGCGAACCCAATCCCCGTAAGATAAATGCTTTAGATTGATTCGTTTTTCTGTTGCTTACCTGGTCATACCCGTGGTTCGTGGGTGCCCCATGCACACTACCGAGTGCTTGGCTCGCGAAGTGCTAACCAATCGCACGCATAATTTGTTTCAAGCCATAAACAACGTGCTATAAATGCTATAGATTGTATTGAGCATGCATGGGCTCAAATGAAACTACAGCCGCTTCCGTAAGTACCCTGGAGTAAAATCATTCCAATAACTGTTTTTAAGTGAAACTAACACCACAGCCCCGTACCTATGATGGTGCTGTAAGCATAGATGAGCACTAAAGGCCGTGAGTTGTAATAGGGCTACCTTCGATAAGTTCAACACAATGTGATTTCGGTTGTCTCCAAGATGTCGTAGATTCTATAATTTATTGTTGGCTGAGGTACGCCACATACATTCGTTCCCTTGGCAACTCACCAGGCTTATTGTTCAGCCAAATCGCCACCTCTGATTTATTCATTCCGGGTTACTTGTGAAGAAAAGAACGCATTCTTTTGGAAGCACGATCTAATCTTTTTTCACTTCTCAATCTCTTTTTTTGGATACTTACCGACTCGACATCTTACTTAGTCATTCATTTTATCATGGGTCGCAATTCCGAATCTTCTCTATTATCATTTACTGTTGTTGTCCTCAAATTATTAGTACCAGCAACTGCCTAACACTTGCGCTCTCATATTGTGCCCGAGAGGTGCAAGCCATTTTCGTCGTCGCCAAACATTTAAGACAGATTATTGTCTTTCACGGTCTTCTGTTGATCGTCGGAAATTGTNGAGAATATCGTGGTGGTCAATGTTTATCACCTAATCTGAGAATTTAAAAAAGAGTTCGAATACTATTGTTCGTCGGTTGTGATCCGACGTTTTGGGGCTCTTGCATGCACATCTTTCATCCTTTTCACTCCCTCTCTGCTCAGATAGCCACAGAGCAGAGTCACACATGTTTCTGTGTTTTGAAATCTAATAGGGATTGATGGGTCGTATACCATCTGTTTGGTTCACCACCAAACGGATATTCAACTGTCATTGCGCTTGATATGGACTTTTCATGACGGTCCTCTGAGCTCAGTTCACTTTGTACAACCATTAACCACCTCGGAGCCCCATCAGTAGTGAAGCGCTTTTTGATTGGGAACGTTTACCAGCTGGCTCAAATCCGTCTCACTGCCCACTGGTAATGTCATTTTATTGTGACTGTCATAGTGCTTCTGTACAAATGTTTATCAGTTCCTCGATCAAGCTGTTTGACTTACAAACCATGTTACTAATTGTAATAGGAAAAGTATTAGTCTTCTTTTGCTATCTACGCCCTTANNNTCATATTAACACTTTATTTTGCTTGAACAAAATCCAGTTTCATGTTTTTCTATCGCACACCAGTACTGGTTCACCGTAGTAAATCCCTTTGAATAAATAATACTGTACATGACGGCTTTGATTATCTAGTGAATTTCCCTGATGCACAGAGCAAATTAAGCAAAATGAAGTTCGGTCTGTTCAG